TAGTAGAATTACAGATGCACCTCAAAATAACTATCGTAAAAGGTAAAGTTTAAATTAATTGTAAAAACCCTAACTAATTAGTATACTATACTTGTATACGAGATGTCTATATATATATATATATATATGTATATATATATATATATATATATATATATTTCTTTTTTTTTTTTTTTTCCTGTCCCAGACATAGTGCATCTTGCAATACATTATCTAGATCATCCTTCTTCAAGATTTTCATATGTTTATAGATCTACTTAATTTTAACTATTTTTAAAGTTTAAATTTCTATGATTAGATATGAAAATAGATTTTTAGATAATCCTAAGAATTTTTTTACACCAAAATTACATGTATAAAATTTGGAGGTGCCTCAATTGGATTGTGTAAGGTTGCACCCTTAATTAATTGGGCTACAAAAACATTTCCTAGAATATGTTTTGAAATTTTGTTTTTTAGGTCTTGAAATTCTAATATTTTTTTTGTAATCATAATGGTCAAGGCCGGTATGAACGATTTAAAAGTCCCCCGATCTAGAACTGCAATTTTCAATAAAGTTCGAGGGGAAGCTTTGCTTTTTCAATAAAGTCTAGGCCTTTTTTAACCATTTTTCTTCATTCAATACTTCTTAAACTCCTAAGGTTCTTATAGGAGTTCTCCATCATGCAAATTTGTTTTTTATTTATTTTTATCTGTAGTTCTACATCATGTAAGTTGATGAGTCCATAAAAGTACATGGCTCACCCTGGTTTAAGATGACTAGTTATCAACTAACTCTGTTGAGTTGATTTACATGTTATGCATGATGTTGATAACTATAGTTACTAGGTCACCAATAACACGAATTACTAGATATTAACCTTACGTTTATTAAACTGTACTTTATAAATATATAACATTTAACCCATAATTTTTTGTCTAGTTTCAAATTGCCCATCTTCTTTTAACCAAATTTCAAATAGCCATCATATCACACATCAAACTAGGTTTTGAAATTTATCAAAATTAGGGCAAAATATTAAATAATTTAAATGTTAGATATATATTGATAAATTTCCCTATTTTATTGTATGGAGAGAGAACTAGAGACATAGAGGACTGGACTATAGGCCATTAGCTTAACTGTGTGGCTTTGATGTTACTTACCGATTAAGTTCAGTCTTCTTATGCATCACTCGGATGAACACATACACACAAGGGTATATGCAATGGTCAAAAAGGGCGGTGGCCCAATTTTATTATTCCATTCAATTATGAGGCATGTCGCACCAAATTTCCGATAAGGGTCTAGGTCTAGGGTTTATATAAATCTTCGAAGTAAAACTTTTGAATTGAAAAACAGGATAACATATATCAGCTAGCCCTAGAGCATGACTTGCATTGAAGCCACCAAATTGCCAACTCCTGCTAGTGTCAGTCACAATAACCGCCCATATTTGTAGCTACCATAACTTACCTATATCTCCGGTCCACCATGATGGTGCTGGCTCCATTGAATTTGAATTTGGCGCTCACTATCATAGGCGGACCAGACAATGGTATAGTGCACCTTACCATTGTCTGTAGAGAGAGAGTAATGTAATAGAGTGATTGAACTTTAACAGAAGGATGCCACAATCATTTTTGGCCATTGAATGTAGAACAGGACGGATGGGGGTGTTCCATTATTGACTGATTTCAAAGTTAAAAGAGAGGTTTGTATAAGGCACCTTCCTTGTACCGTAAGAGCGATTGCACACACATGAAATTTACTTGAAGTTAGAGTTTTTGTGTCAGAAATCTTATGATAGCATGAAAATCTACTTTTACCTTCAAATATAAAATATAAAATTTAAAAAATAATGTAAATCGAACAAATATATAAACACTTGGAAATTTAAAAAATAGACAGCTCAGATAATTTGTTATAAATTGTGCCATTTATAGGACTAACAATTCTTTATTTTTCCATATCCACATATCTAAGTCATCTAAGTCAATCTGATCAATTGAATTGATCGGATTACTTTCTTCTAGAGGATCTTTGAGGTGCGCCTTGCTTTAATAGTATATATATCTGAGGATCTTTGAGGTGCGCCTTGCTTCAAACTATGTGAAATTCCCCAATCTTCAAATTCAAATTTTATGTCTGACGACCTTATTATGACCACGTTGCACCAAAGATAAAAGTATTATAGTATACAGTCCCAATCCGTAATGGTTCCCTAGATTTATTGGGCAAACTTAGTGCAGAAATTGGAGAGAGAGAGAGAGAGAGAGAGAGCGAGAGAGAGCATCATACACCCAACCCGGTAGTCTGCCTCGCGTTGTAGAAATTAATGCAATTTGGACAAAATTGTATTGCCATTTTAAGGGCTTAAGCTTGTTTATTTTTAATTTGGACTAAATTGCAATTGTCTAATTTACAACTGGGGCTCTTGGCAAATACTATAAATTATGTTTCAAAAGATATGATTCGGTTGGAAAAAAAGGTGGGGTCGTCGTGGTAGCAGGGCCATACCCTAATCACCACTACTGTGGTTTTCATTCCCATTGACATTACCCCACTAACATCTTTGAAAAACTAATTATTAAACTATTTCAAAAAAAAACCATTCCCACTACCATTACCCATTAATACCTCCAAAAAAAACTAACTCTTAACTACTTGAAAAAAAAAAAAAAAGTAGGCATGACTCCCCACAAAATTACCCAAAAAAAACTTTAGTTCAGCTCTCTCTTTCTTTCCCTACCTCTCTCTCCACACTCTCCTTCACTGCCCCAACACCACTACCTGCTCCACTAAAACCACCCCTCGTTCGACACCACCACCACAACACCGTTGCAACCACCTCTCCCCTACTCACTCCCCCGCCATATCTCTCTCTCTCTCTCTCCGATGTTGTTTAGACGTTCCATTAGGGAACACACGCCTAGCCGACCCAAAACCAAGGGGAAACGCATCCACAAGTTAAAAGGACAAGAACATATTTTACTTTCATTAATACATACTGAAAATGCCAGTGTAATGCCCCAGTCTATTCAAACCTATGAAAATTTTAATGGCAAAAGAGCACATTTAATTTGGCGCCTTCATGACTCTCTACCAGTGTTTGAAAACTCAGGGACTGACTCAGATGCACTCGAGTTACTTAAATTCAGCAGGCCATGGGATTCGGAGACCATGGACAGTGGCCAAGTCTTGGTCAGTCCCCAAAATTTTTATATGCTATTCTTTGGACGCAGCCAGACAGAATCAGCCCAGTTCAATTGCCGGACTCGGCTTGGGACCCCAGCAAGTCCCAACAAGAGTCCTTTTCAAACACTGCAGAAGTCACTTTCATCAGGCTCCTTAACATTGAACCAAGCCTCATTACTTGGACTGAACAAGTTACCCCCACTTATAATTACTGAACCAGTTAATGAGTGTCAACTGTCAACCCATTAGGGTAAAACACCAAACAAGAGAACCTAATTGGTAGACGCAGACAACATTGCTTTTCTAACAAATTTCAAGACCATTCTGTTTCAAATAACACCCAATATAGATAGTCAACGCATTCTCAGGACTTCACGTATTTTTCCACATATGCCTGCAACACAAGACAGAAATTTTCAGGCACTGTAACTTGCCACTGAGAGAGAGAGAGAGAGAGAGAGAGAGAGAGTAAAGAGGAGCACCAACAAAATATTTAACAGTAAATGAAATTAACTCACCTGTACAAGTTTTGTGAGCTTTTCTTGAGAGAAAGAGAGATATTGATCGATTTTCTCCTGGGTATTTGGAATCTGAGGCCCCTGTAGTGTGCCTGTCACCTTATCAACTACTTTCTTAACTATGGTCTTGTGAGCCTCCTTGCTCATGTGGCCTTCCTTCCATGTAGGCTTCAAAAGCTCCTTCACAAAATCAACCAATGCAAACTTGAACATTCTCATCCCCTTCTCCTCCTTGCTTCTCTTACTCTCTTCCTCAACCCGAGCTCTGTCTTCACTGTCCTTAACCCCTTCTCCCCCAACATTTTTTCTGTCCGTGAGCTCCCCAACATTTTCTTTCATCTCCTCAACCTCCCTAGAAGTTTCTCTCACCTCCCCAAGTTTCCCAACATTTTCTCTCTCCTCCTGGAGCTCCATGCCTTTTGCTGACCCAAGCTTCTCAGAGTTGAGCTTTCCAACATGATCCAGTGGCTCATTTGTCTTTCTCTCACTATCATTATTAGGCATAGACAAACTCTCATTGGTCTCAATAGGCACAGGATCCAAAGATCTTCCAGCAGAAATCCCTTGATGTTTAACAAAATCCAGTATGACCCCCAACTCTTTTTGACCAATTTGTGGCTGAATAAGCTCGACACTATCTGATAAAGGATCATACTGCTTGTTTTGGGCCGATAAACCCTGAATTGGCTGAACTGGATTGGGTCCAACAGGCTCTATTGGCCTCACAGAATCAGGATATACTGAGAAACCTTGAGGCACCAAACCACCTAGAGAGAGAGGATTTGCAGCTGCATATACAGGTGGAACCTGCTGAGATGCTCCAAAGATCTGTGCCAAAGAAGCTGCAAGGTTTGGCATTTGGTTTACCTGATTTCCAGTTTGTGAAACTGAGCGTGCACTGGGCTGGATGGAGAATACATCAGCTCTCATAGCCCCTTTTCTCTCTTCTGATTTATTAGCTGTTTCCTCCGGATCCAATTGATTTTGCAGGTGGTGATTTGAAGGAGCTTGAGAGAGAATCTGCTGGTTCGGGTCAATGCTTCTCTGAGGATCAGGAATCATCGTAGGCATGTTATTTGCATTGTCAGTTTGTCCGATTGGATATTTGATATCTTCTTTGGGAATCTGGTTGGAGACCTCTACGTGGTTTGTTCTGGTTTCTTTGTGGTTTATCCCAGTTACTCTTTCTACTTGGCGGTGATACTGTTCTTGGTTAAGATGACCTGAAGAAGGTAAATCCAACCCACTGGAGAAGCTATCCCTTCTGTCATCCCTAGAACTCTCACTCTGACTCTCATGCACAGAGCCCCGGTGAGAGAATTTGCAAGATGTGCCCCTGTGGCAAAGGCCCTTGGAGTAGAACTTACAAGGGGGTAGATCTCTAACCTTACCTGAACCATGGTTTCCCTCTCCTGAATACCCAAGTTTATCATGGCTCTCTCTCTCAAAAGATAGCTCTCTCCCAGTACCCGACCCACAGTTTCTCTCTCCCAAATATCCATGTTTATCATGATTCTCTCCCGAGAGAGACAGCTCTCTCTTAGTATCCAATTCATGGTCTCTGTCTCCTGAATACGTATGTTTATCTCTGCTTTCTCTTTCAAAAGACACAGGAGGATCATCTTGCTTGTCATGGGTTCTCTCTCCTGGAAACCCATGTTTATCATAGGCTTCTCTCTCAAAAGAGATACGAGGATCTTGCCTATCATGGGTTCTCTCTCCTGGATACCGGTGTTTATCATAGTTTTCTCTCTCAGCATATAAACGAGGATCTCTCCGATTGTAGGATCTCTCTCCAGGATATCCATATTTATCATTGTTATCGCTCTCAAGTGACATAGAAGCATCTCGTCTATCATGGGTTCTCTCTCTAGGAGCCTCTTTGCTAGGCCTTCCATCATATCTATCATCAGAGGCATCATGATGAATGTATCTGCATTCAGAACCTCTATAACACTTGCCTACCGAGAAATCATAGCATTGATAGGAAGACCGGTTCTCTCTCTTCACCTCTCTTCTCCTTCCGTCACTATCATAATTACTATTATAACCTTGCAAAATGGTATCATGTGATCTATGGTTAGACCCATGGAGATTGCTGAAGGTTTCATGGTCCATATCCTCTGAATATCTTTCTCTCTCAGATCTGTCTCTCTCTGGCCTGCCACCATCATAGCGATGATCATCATGGAGAAATCTGCACTGGCTTCCTCTCCTGCAGCGCCCTCCCAAGTAATCCTTGCACACTGGAACTGAACCCCTAGTTCCTCTCCAACTATCGCTCCTATCATCTATTTCATGCTTACCACCATGGGAAGGAGATCTACTTCTACTCCTGGAAATCATACAATGACATTTCAATGAAACAAAAGAAATAATTGGAATAAAAACAAAATGACTAAAATATTTCAATAAAAATAAAATTGACTAAAATAACCCTAAAATTGGAATTTGGGCATTTTTTGTCATTTTATATCTTTCAAATTATTTTTTTTGTACTTTTTACAGGGGTGTGATAGTGAGAACTACGGATCCCCAAATTTGAGCTTAATCCGATATATATAAAAAACTAAACAAAAATAACATATGTGCTCCCAAAAAAGTGGGACTTGAGCATAAATATAAAATATAAGGGTCTATTTTTAAATGTGCACTTATACTATGCTCCCTCATGAGCATAGTTTACTTCTACTCCCTTGGTCAGATGACCTACTTGAGAGGATTTCTTTTTAATCAGAAATTTTGGTAACCACCTTAGAATCACTAGAAAATTATTCTCAAAAAAAAAAAAATTTGAGTTTTTTAACACTTAGATCTCACCATCTAAAATTGGACGGTTTCTAATCAATCTTGAGACATTACGTTTTTTCAACTGCTTAGAAAGTGCAACTATAAAAAATAAAAAAAATAAAAAAAATAAAAAATAAAAATAAAATTTTATTGAGTATGAAAGAGGTTCTATCCCCAAAATTTGGGGTCCTAAAACTAATCCTAGGTAGGGTTTTACCCGAGGGAGGAAATGGACAGTATACTCCCCAGGGAATAGAATACCTTTTGGCATTTTAAATTCTTATAATAAAACCGACTTTTCATAAATTCCCCTAACTTTTAAGTTTCTTGCTTTCTATTTATCTTATTGTAGTCTTCTACAATTTTTCATATTTCTTGAAAATTCCATAAGAATAGAAAAGAATATTCCATAAGAATAGAAAAGAATTCCTGTGAAACTACCTTACCAAGAAAATTCTTGCAACGATTATGTTTATATTAAAATCCTAAGAAAGCAGTTTGGAATAGGGTAGATTCAACCCCATATGGTCAGAAGCTACCTGGTGATTCATTTGGCACCTATCTACGTCAAACAGGAATGTCAAAATGGGAAGGGTTTTGCGTGTCAAAAGCCTAGCAGTGGTAGCAAGGTCAAATGGCTGGGCTTTTAGCTCTTTCTTTGCCTGTGGTAGCCAGGTCTTGTCAAAGCTCAAAAAAAGGGATTTTTGCAACTTCCAATTATTTAGGGTGCTTTATTTGCAACACAACACATAAAAACACGAGTTTGAGAAGCGTGCGATCTGATGCGAGAAAACTACACGGTAAAAACACACAAAACCAATTGGACATGCTCAGACATGGTCCTGAACATGTATGACCATGTCTGGCACCATAATTCAAATCAGACACCAGAATACACAGTTTTTAAAATTAAATGTCCCACATGACTTGGTACCTTCTCGTTAGAAATCAAAGGCCTCACCATCAAGTCATTGGTAATGGTAACTTATGCATCAAAGTTTTCTAAGTGTTATAATATAAACTAAACGACAAATACATGTTTTGCATCAAGGACTAAACAATACTTTAATCCTGATCGAAGTTTGCCAATATTTTTTTGCAGTTTACGCATTTTGGTAATTTATATATCCGCATATTATTTTATACAATGTAATCAATTTTTCTATTCATAAGTTACAAGAAGTTACCAAATTAAGATAGATTATTAATGTACATATGTACAAAAATACAAGTCAAACCTAAATTCAAAAGTGAATGCATCATCTGTTTTTTTTCTTTTCCTTTTCTCGTAAGTGTGCATGCTTGGGTTAGTGCGCAACTATGTAGTGATCATAAAAATCAAAATGAACTAAAAACCAAAAAAATGCACCAATAAATATTGTAATTAGCAAGTGTATCAAATACGCATCTTGTTGCACACAATGACAGAAACAAAAATGGCAGCAGCTCAAATAATAATTAAAAGAGCTAATAGAACTTTTATATTGATTTCCATTTTAAAATAGTCCACCAAGTTATTTATCCAGGATGGCATTCAGTACAAAAGAATATTTAAAATTTATTACATGTACTAATTTTAACTATATTTTCATAGAATTAATACTTCTACAACATTCTGAATACCAAAGAAACACACACATCCATGTATGCCTGCTACCAATGTCTTGATTTTGGTTCCCATGTCTAATACCTGAAATGAGTCTATACACTCAACACTCATGGCAGTGTCTAGGAAATGAACGTGCCTCTACTGTAGTAGTAGTTCACAAGAACTAGGCTTGACGGTCTCCTATGGACCATGGCAACAGAAGGGCCACTTTAAAGAAAATGAAGGCAGTAATCTTTGCTTTAGGCCAACATAGAGACCTGAGCCTGATGGTTCCCCCTTGGCTTTCCTTTGGGAGACTGTGCAGGCTAATCTGATGGAGGTTATGAAGGAGTGTATTTTTTCTTTTTCTTTTTCAAAAGAAAAAAGGATAGGCGTAGAAGAGACTGTTTTCCACTTTTATTACTCTATCCAAGGCAGTAGATCCAAAGGAAACAAAAGATTATGACCTATAGGTCTTATGGGAATGTTTAAATACTCTAGAGAAGGTTCTTTTGTGCTGACTTAAAAAATTTGAATCGTCACTCCTGCACAATTGGCCATTCTTAGAGGTTATCAAATTCTTGATGGCCTCTTTTGAATGTACCGATTTGAGACAGAGATGGTAAACCCAGTCTTATTAGCAAGAGAAATATAGATAAAGCACATGACCATGTGGATTGATGATGCTTTGGCTATATATGTTAAAAGGGATTGGCTACATCAAATGGAGGTACATGTCACAATCAATCTCTGCCCCTTGTATTCAGTGTTAATTAATGGCTCGCTTACAAGCGATTTTGGATTCTTAGGGATTTGAGGCAGGATGCTAACCTATTTTCCATTGCGGCTAAGGCTTTAGTCATCTAACTGATAAGGACACCTATTCTGATCTTTTACAGCGCTTTAAGGTGGCAGTTGAGGGCCAGTCATCCATCTACAATATGCAGGCAAAGATACATATTACATTCCTGAAATTTAAAATTGGCAGGAGAATCTGAAAATTCTTTTGAGGGTTTTTGAGGATGTCTCTAGGTCATAGTTACCAGAATCCCTCTGCTGAGGTCACGATTCCAATTCCGATTTGGAACCCTAACTCAGCAATTCCGACAAGGAATCATCACGGATCCCATTTCCTAGTACTCAAGAATCTCGATTCCTTAATTTAGTAATCTCGTTTCAAATCTTTTCAGAATCCCATTCCCAATGTCTATGGAATCTGAGCCCCAACTTTTTCGAATTTCAATTCCATTATTTACTGAATCTTGATTACACATCTATTGATTCCCGATTTCACATGCAATGAATCTTCATTCATAAGGGTTTTTGAATCCAGAATCCAAAGAGTAACGTGATGTACACAATGGCAAAGTATTGTAACTCCAAGGTTTAAAAAAGTGTTGGGCAGCCCCTAGGCGCTAGAGGGGGGTGGAAGGAGGGGGGAGGGGTCTAGGGCGCCCAGCGCCTAGGTGGCCGCCCAAAACCTCAGGTAGGTACCCAGAGATGCGAGATATATACATATATGCATATATGCGCTATTGAAACACACAGATATGCCTATATATGTGTCGAACATACATATTTATGCATTAATATGAAGTCTTAACAACTTTTTTATACAAATATAAGCACGTGAATGTTAGAACAAGTTTAAATCACTGAAAATTTCGCTTCTTTGCATAGCTAAAATGGTGAAAATTAACACTAGTACATGGTATGTTAGTGATTTAGTGTCCATACACCATACTCTATAGTTTATACTTCATACAGTCATACTAAGACTCTAGGTCTCCAACAAGACCAAATGACCAATACAAAATGATGTTTTATGACAAATGTTATACAAACGAAAAGAAAAAGGAGCTCGTTAATTGTTCAATGTTTTGGATACTTTATCCTCAATGTTTTTGTTATCTAACAAGCTCAAAATCACCCCAAAATTCTTCTAAAAACATCATTTGGATCCTAAACTAGTTTGCAAGAAGGCATGGCAAGGTTTCGAATGATTCTACAAACTTTTCAAAATTTTCTCGTTTTAAATCAATCACAAAATCCATTAATTTTGGGTGTTTCTAGGGCATAGGAAGAGTTTTTTACTTTACGGGGTAAAATACCCCTTTTCTTGGGTCAAAATGACCCAAAATAACCCCAAAAAAAATCTGTCCTAGGTGCCCACCCAGGTTTGGGCATTGGGCAATCACCTAGCCCACCTAGATGGCTAGGTGGGCGCCCAGGAACTTCCACCCACGCTAAGAAGGCGTGCAGGAACTTCTGATCAAGAAGGCTTCCCCAAGTCTAGGAGGGCGGCCTATGGCCTCTTGGTGCCTAGCTGGGCGAGCTATTTTTTGAAACAATGTGCAACTTGAATCAATTTTCAAAGGCAAATATTTAAGAGTTAGGAAATACTTAACATGTATGATTCTAATGTCTTTTGCACGCAAGAAAGGTAGGTACAAGTAGGGTATTGGAGCATTAAATTCATAAGAACTTGGTCCTTTGAGCATTAAAATTTAAATACTCCACATCCTCACCCTCATTATCACAAGGCACAAACCCGTCAGTGCATATGGGATTTGCACATGTTTTTTCTTTTCTTTTCTTTTTTTTTGGAGAACTGATGTTTTCTATGTCAAACCTCTCAAGTTACAAGATGAGATCATCTTTATGTCAGATTTTTTGACAACAAATTACCGAAAAAGGTCAAGTGGACTATGTTCTTTATCGATTGATTTCATTGATCATGCATTGTAATGATCCACTAGAGAGATTGTAAATGAAGAAATTTAAAACTAAGGTATAGATACGAGTGCCAAGTTGATCAAAGAATAGCTCTAAAACTCTTTGTTGCATAATTTAATTTTGTATGGTATCATAGGACTATTGTTTTGATAATAAGTTATAAATGGTTTAGTAATACTTCATTGCCAAGTAGAACAAAGAATCAAAAATTATCATCCATG